CATCATTATCATTCGTGGATACGTCTAGCTTCTGCTTATATCTACCTCAAACGGAAAACGTCATCTCCACCAACTTTTAATATCCGTTTTTTTAGGGTTTTAAAAAAAAAGTTTTTCTCTCGGCCAAACAAACGTAGCTCACATTTATACCAGCAAACTTGCGATCCTATATACGCTCGGCAGCAAGTTTCTAAGCCACCGTGACGGGTTTCCTACGCAGCGGAAAAGAACTTATTCAAGAATATTCGTTGTTTTATCCACTCTTCTGACAGAACATCGCAAGATCGTAATATATGTGAAATTAAGTCACTGACATACGCCAAACCATACGGTAAATGCCAGTGTATTTCAGTGTTACTCAAAATAACGCACTCACTTGGTGCACCCACCGCTTCATTTATCGTATTGTGGAGGGTACTTATAAAAGCAAATTTTCAGAAACGGCCTAGGGCATTGAAATATCCCTGGAGACACACGCGTCTACTATCAGTGGGTTTATGCAATCAAACGTATACTAATTGCTGCTGCAAATAATACGATAATATTATTATAATATACCAAATGATAATACTAAGTCGATGATGATGATAATGATAATGATAATAAAGTAACAGWACCTATGCTTAATAATATAATTMCAAAAGGTACTTGGGATCATTGGCCAATTAATCCGCGAGCCCATCAATCATCAGCTAAACACGATTATACRATTAAGAAAATACGTAGCTAGTCAATAATATTTGCAATGTATCAGAAAATGTGCAGCCCAATCAAGGTCATTCAAATTCATGATTTTGTTAAAGTCTTCGGTGTCTAATGAACCTAGCCATACGACAGTTATGCAGTAGACAGATATGAGTAGTGATCTCGTCGCCTACAGGTGTAAGGAACCAAGGATGATGAATAAGTTGACTCTTGTAATTACTCGAACAGTTGTTTAAGTTATAATAGATGTACTTTTATTCATTAAMACAATTAAAAAATAAAGTTATTTTATTCTACACAAAAGACTTAAATAATTTAAACAGTGAAAATATTCTAAGTGCACAGAAAATATTCGATTTGACTCGTTTATTTTTTAAGTCCAAATTAATTAATCAGAAAACAAAATATAGCGTGGAGGTGCTCTGGTACTCTTTTTCATATACTCATATCACATCTGAATACAGGCCGTTTGGGGGGTCTCTTATGTATTACTATCCTCTACAGGGTCTGAGATACATTGGTCCCGTTGACGCCTCTCAAGTGTCTACATTTTATTGGCCCTGCGTCGTATTGTATTAATATCCGTTTTCGTGTGTACTCTGTTACAGTTTGTCGCCTGCTGGAGAGTGGCGTGCACGCAATATTTGGACCYTCCGATAGCCACTTGGCCAGTCACATAGTGTCCATCTGCGAGGCCGTCAGCATGCCTTTGCTGCTGACAATCGCCGACCACGTGACAGACTTCAACAGACGGCACTTCGTCACGGACATGTTTCCGGCACGTGGGCATCTCGGAAAAGCGTTCAGGGACCTTATCAATTTCTTGAACTGGACRAAAATCGCGATCGTATACGACGACGAAGAAGGTAATGGAAATCGTTAGTCGTAGTATATTATAGCTGTAGAATCACGCAGAGCGAGTGGGTGTGATGGACGTCATCGATGGCGAATTGACTACACGGGTATTATTGCAATTTCACGTCAAAATGACGCGCGCTGTGCAGGAAGGGTGTTACATTTCGATTGTTGTTCTTTATTAAAAACACAGTTTGATTAACGACCTGGCAAAAAGGTTCGCTTTTATACCGCTGCGTTCGATACGATTCGGGGTTTTATTTTTTCCCCAACTAAAATCTAAACTGTCGATTAATGCGTTTTACTCTTATATAGGTTTACTGCTGGTACAGAATCTAATGAAAATGTCGAAAACTGACTTTTACGTTCGACAAGTGGATCAGCACACGCATAGGCAAGTGATGAGAGAAATTAAAGACAAACACATTTTCAACATTATCGTGGACGTCCATCCGCGCAACATTAACGGRTTTTTCAGATCCGTGAGTACTAATATTATTTAATATGATTAAAACTACATTATAATTTTTTTGTTTAAGACTGAACAAATAACTATAGCTCWATGTTATCTATTATTATTGTCATTATTATTATTTCGTGGTGAAGACGAATGCTTGTTTAATAAGCACAACTGATAAATATGTAATGAAAATCTTGTGTAAATTCAATTGGAATCTTTTGGAAGTTTTAAAGCTACCTCTCGATTTGGGCTTAGACCGTTCTGGCAAACTTAATGAACATATTGATCTAATAGTAATATTGTAATATAGAGTTAATATTAATAAAGATTTTGCAATTAATAAAATAAAATCATGTACAATGGACAATATACATTATAAATGTAATAACAATAAAACCTATTTTTTAAAACGTTTGCATCAAATTCAACAGATTTTTACCTTACGCAAGTAAAACTAATTTCACTTGCACCAACGGTATAAATAATATTCGTCCAAACAGACTATACACTTTTTAGTCAAAATTAATAAATTAGCCCAAAAGACCACCGCTTATTGATTATATTATCTCGCCTATGGTCATATAGATTACTCTTTAACTGTATCGAAWAGTTAAAAAATATATTCACATTTTATTTAATTATTTAACATCAAATAATACATCATTCACTTTGTATAATGTATTTAATCATGTGCACCATAATTTCTTAAAAACCTTATTATTCTAATCTACATTAATAATGATTACTTAATATAATATAATCTGTAACTTAAATATTCCATGATTTAAAATTATT